TGAGAATGGCCTCCCTGTCCCCTTTAGTCCAGGCTTGACCCAAGTCCTTGAGGAGGGTTCTGCTCTCTTCCCCTCTGGACTGAACTCTGCCTTACCTTGTCAGTGCATCCAAGGATGAGGGCTGTGCTCCTTGTCACTCATGCCAGATGGATCCTGCCAGCCAGGATGCTCGAGTCCACTCGAGAGAGGCAGAAGAAGGTCTTCTGGGAGGAACTGTATTCGTCCACAGGCTGTCTCCCTGCCCTTCAAGCTGCCTGGAGAATGAATTTCCTTCCAGACCACGCACCATGCTTCCTTCCTCATACTCCCAAGCAGAGGAGGGAGCCACACGTCTCACACACTCAGATACTCGCTGTGTATTTCCTGAGATCCTAAAGATCCTTTGTGCTTCTCTAGAGACTTTTACACATAGTGACCCAAACTATGTGTTAAACTGAGCACAGAACAGCAGTAGAGTCCCCTAAGAAGTCAGGACACCCCTGTCTTATAACTAATATTTGCAGAGAATATGGGTGTATTTTGAGGTCTATCTAGAGAGTAGCTTTAAGGATCCCCTTTTAAATTTGAGATCATGTGACATTCAGTAATGAAAGGTAAATCAAATTTAACCCGAATATTTTGCAAATTAATTGCTCTTTGATATAATACAATCAGGATTCAAAGAATTACTTTCCAGTTGTTAGCAAAGAGGGGCCAGTTATTTTCCTCATCTGTTGCTAGTATTCCTGGAGTTTACAAGAATCATATAGAATGAGAAGACTATTTAAAAGCAGAAGCTCGGGGCAGCCTATTGTCTCTTCAAACCATTTTCTACTAATTAAGCAAGAAGATTTATTACATCTGGATATACTGCTATGTGGAAACATAAAAGGAGGAGTGTAGAAAAGGAGGGAGAGATCGAATTTTTAAAAAATAAACTGCCAAAGAGTATTGTCAAAATAATTTTTCCACTTTATTTAACAAGATGGCTCTGATGTACACATTTGTTTAATGAACAGAGTGTAAAATATTTATCTCCATCTTCCTTTTGGTCTAACTTGCAGTAGATCTGGACAAGAATGATGAACTTGCTTTTCCGAAGAAATGACTGTGCTTAGCTGATTCGGCGTGTCCAGGTATCAACTAATTTCCTGGATGCCTCAGAGCCTGCCGGGCGAGAGCTAGCGTCAATCCCCACACCGCAATTCGGCCAGTCGCTCACAAACACCAGTGCGCATGTGTGACAGAAATGAACTGATTATCGCGATTGATCATTCTCCACGGGGCGTTTCCATGTTGGAAACATCCTTTTGGTGCTGGTATGGTGCAGGGTTAGCTCTCCCCTTTCACTAAATGTGTGAAATCAAATGTGTTTGGAAACAAGAAAACACACACAGAAAATCCATGTTCCTTTTCCACCACACGTGAACTTACAGAACTGTGGAGAGTTAAGAGGGGCGGAGTGGGGCTCAGTAACTGAAGGGGATCTACACAGCACTGCAAATAAATGACAAAATAGTTTGCCTAAACACTGCTACACTTTATAAATTTGGTAAAAATCGAGATGTAAATTCCTTCATATGAACATATCTTTCACTGAAAGAATATAAATTATAAAAAAGATGATAAAACCCTAGGAATCATTTTTAAAAGTATTTCATCATTCAAGCCCTAGACTGACAGTTTCACAGTAGAAAAGGGCTAGGTGCTGGAAGGTCAGCTCTGAGGAATCGCTACATTACTATCCTTGACTTTTTTTTGGTACAATTGTGTGTCTGAGTTGGCAGATCAGGGAGGCAATGGATATTTTCAGAAACAAAAAACAAGGCCCCATTTGGGGGGAGGTTCAATTAAATGCCACTTCCCTTAACGGAGTAGTAATCATTCGCTGATGGCTGACCATGTTTCTCTCTCATGATGAAGTGACCGGGTTGACTTAGGGGGTAGCATATCATTTATTGACAAAACACGTTCAGGAACATCTATGTTTCCGTTTCAGCTCCGATATTAACAAATCAGCAAATACAGGGAGGGGCTCACAGTTTGCCCCCGAGACACAGACACACCCTTAAAATAACAGTTTGATGTAAAAAGCAGAGGAGACACATATGTGTACATTCCAATCAAGCTACACTCCTGGGAAGGGTGCACTACGGACTGCGGAGAAGACTGTTCTATTCAAGAGGGAGTCACACACATAAAAATAAAATATTTAATATTCTACACTATATTACAAAAATAAATATATTAATCAATAAATAGTAAGAAGCCTAGAAACTTTTACATAACCATGCTGGTGGTGAGCTGTCAAGTCCCCTGCTAGAGTTTCCCTCAAGAGTTGTTAGGTTTATCAGCTTTTGCCATCAAAGCATAAGAAATAAAAATAAAGCAAGATTGGTATGGGCTGGCCGTAGTGGAAGATTTGTCATCACAGAAATGTATCACTAAGTTTTATCTACCCATTCTGTGGCTTCAGGTTAAGACAGTGAAGTAAACAGGCTGCAGGCAGCGGCTGGGAGAATGGGAGAAGAATGCTTCTATTTATGGCTTTTGTCATTTCACTTTTTGATAAGGCAGCAAAATTCATAACAATCATGAAAACAGCAACACTTAAATATCCAATACGTGACTATCTGCACACCTTTGTACAAGAAGACCATCATGAAAAATGCAGCTTACGTTTGCACTGTAGGAAATGGAGCAGTATGTGGGATATGTAGACAGCCTCAACTGTCACCTCCCTTCCATAGCTCAACAAAGTCTCTCCAAGAGCTGGCTGAGCCAGCAGCTGTGGGCATGGCGGGGTACAAGAGCTGACACCTCCAGTATCATATGTGAATGTCAGTGGTGTTCTGAGCCAGAGAGCATGCAGTTCCACAGATCTGGCTGTCATGTTTTCCTGGAGTTTGCAAGTCATTCGGCATCACACGACACATCTAAACTATTGAAATTACAAAGCTGAGCTGCTCTCTGCCCTGGGCTGGTTGTGGAGCCATGACTAGAGTTTAGAAGAAACTATTCCTGCCAAGCTGAGAGTTTGTTATATGTCTATGATAGTGTCCTTGAGAAAGAAGGACCAGCAGTACCATGGAGTATGAGTATGTGTGGTGTACCATAGATTATGAAGGCTGTACCATTTCCTCGGGGGATGCTGCCGTGGCTATGCAATGCCAGCTCTCTCTACACAGATTTATGCATGTGCTTAAACACATGGTGTTATAAAGAGTTGAATCTCCATCTCAGCCAACACAATGTCCCTCACCATGTCCCCACTTTTAATCAAAATATTCCTCTTCTAGGGCAACAACTTCTCTGAGATTTCCATTTTGACCGACTGGCTATTTGGAGTTGAAGTTCAAATTCAGAAAATGCCTTTCCTTGACAGAACAATCTGAATGTATAACCCTAAGAAGTTTATGGAAAGGAAGCTGATAGCTAGCCCCAAATTAATATATAGTACCAATAGGGTAGGGTTGGGCAATGTACTGGAAGCCACATTCCTGCTTCTCATGTGAATCACTGTGTCACCTGTCTGCTGATGCTAGGGTGACTTAGTACCTGCCTGCTCTAGATCCTCCTGTACAGAGTCTAGAACCCTAACAGGAAGCTGTAAGGCCAGGGTCTCAGTGTCCTTATAACCCACCTGATGATGGAGAATATTTTCCAACTGGAAGGAGAGAGGAGTGGGAAGAATGGGCATGCTATAGGGTCCCTTCCAAGATCAAGGCTAATTTCAAAGTTTAAGCTCAACATTTGAGTCGCCTGCTCATGCATCTACTAATTCATGGGTTTGAATGTATTCACCTGGACTCTAGTCTTCTCTTCTGTATTCTTCATGAAAAACATAGCGTAAAGGATACAGCTAAAATCAAATCAAGTTCCATTTCCAGAATAAGTCTACAAGTCAAACCACTAACTGATTTCACACTGAGTGAAAATGCTTTCAGGTGCCTCCTCCCAGTCCATGTCATGGGAAATGAACAGGAAAGAAAGACAGCTAAACCAGAGGCATGATGGGCAGGAAGGTAAATAAGGGAAGAAGATAAAAGAGAGGGGGGTCATAACATAAAGACTATTTTCAGTAGAGTCCATCAAATAGCTCCATTCGGATAGTCCTCTTAGTCTTGGATCACTTTATTTTGTCCAAAAAGATTTAATTATCCCATTAGAATTGTGACGATTTTACCATCACACCTGAGGACAACATCTGCGCCCTTCCTCCTCTCCCCCTCCACCACCTCCATGGCCCTCAACAGCAGAAAAGGCTGGTACATGTGGCCTTGCCTCCTGTTAACTGAGGGGGAGTCAGTCCTGAAGTCCCCCACCCCCATCTTTCTTGACCAGGCAACTGTCCTCTGGAGTACATGGCCCAGGGGCCTTTTCTTTGCAAGTGCATCTCTGGGACCGTTGCCTGTCAAGGCCATTTGTTTCGTGTATCTGACAACCCCACCCACCTCTTGAGTCAGCAGCCTGTTCATAGAGCCTGCTGCTCTGAGACACGGCAGATACAACTGAAAAGAAGTACATTCACATTCCCAGAAGATTCGAGAAATACGCTTCTCTAGATGGTTAAACTCCCGATATGAACTTTCTCACCCTAAATCCCATATCCTATAATACAGACACTCTGGAGGAAGCCGCTCACATGCATGAGCATAGTCTGCCTCTTTTGGACAAAAAGATCTTTATAAATTCATGTGCACTTGCACAAACATGCACAAATATCTGTGTGTTGAACTGTGTGTTTAGGGGCTGCTCTTTCCAAACTGGCACAGAGGATAAGTGATACAGGCCTTCGTTTGTTGTTAGAGATGTATCACTGGGAAATGAGAGTCCAAACAAGATAAGTGGAAGGGACCGGATTGTATAGCAAAATACACATTTTCTACAGCACACTTGACCTGTCCACTTCCCTAAGATGGCAACCTCTATTGTCTGTACACCTTCATTAAATAGTCTCATTAAATAGAACACAAAATATACACATTTGCAGTTATTAAATAAGTCATGGGACTCCTCTCCTATCTGCAGCCACATTCAGACACAGCCATTCCTTCATATTTAAACTTGTAGGTAACAACACCTTTATCTAAATAGAGGATGGAGATGGGATCCAGCTTCGTGGGCACACAGCAGACTTTGGAAGCTTTCTGGGAATTCTTGAGATGGACTAAGGCCTGGATAATAGCATGCTTTGTGGGTGTGAGGTGCTCTGCCAGAGGGTAATTACAGACACCGCGGCATTCATAGGCTTCGTACCCAGGTGGCGCGATGATCCAGGAGTCCCAGCCAATCTCCTTGAAGTCGATGTAGAGTGGGGTCTTCTTGCAGTAATTGCCCTTGGCGTTCCTTCTGATTCGAGCAGTAGAGTCGTCGATCATGTTAGACCTCATCTGCAACAAGGCCTCTTCGTCAGGACCGCTGGAAAAACCATCGGTGTCCAGGTCCAGATCCTGCTCGTGAGTGATCATTTCGTTTAGTTCCTCTTTCTGCTCCTTGTCATTGCTTTGGTCATCAGAGAACACGACAAGCAGAGGGTCATGCTTATTCTGGGCACTGATGTCTATCTCCAGTTGCCCCCTTCCGGTGTCCTCAGCTTGGTTCTGTGTGCTCTCGATGTGAATCTCCAGCTGATGGGTTGCTGGGCCAGACTTCTGCCAACGCCTGGTGGCATCCGTGACATCAAATGTCTCCCACTCACTGTTGGTTCCGTAGATCTCTGTTGACACTAAGACCAGCATGCTCCTTTCATCCTCGGCACCCTCGACACTCTCTAGCACTTCAAAAATGGTGATCTTACGGTCCACACCATCATACATCATACGATCCCTTTGCACCAGTGTGTACAACCTGAGTTCAGCCATGATGACCTCTTCATGGTGAGGGATGGACACATTGAAGAGGAGAGGGTATTTCCGGAGCCCATTAAAACTGACCGGTTGAGAAAACAGATCTAAAAAAGGAAGATATTTATGAGAAAACAGACTCGCTAAGAATGCTGCATAATAAAGCAGGTACTTACTTCTGTAGTAAGACAAAAGAAAACTTGCCTGCCCTGAGCTGTCTCATGGGGACAGAACTGGAAGGAATCTTGGAGCTGCAGACAAGCCCTCTGTCCAACCAACCAGTAATGAGCCATGAAACAGATCATGGAGATTGTTTTGAACTAGCTCATGACCAAAGACTTCAAAGTTTATAATGGGTGGTGATCTCCATGTAGTTGGTTGGCCACTGGTCTTCATGGAAGATCTCCATAGACCAGAGGTTGTTAAACCCACAGGCCAAACTGGGGTTTAACATGTTGTTGAAAATAAAGTTTCACCAGAGCACAGCCCTGCTCGAGTATTGCTGTACCATCTCCGGCTAATTTTGTCCTGCAGAGGCGGAGTTAGCTATGGACTATCTGGCCTTTACAGAGGAAGTTTGCTGACCCTGTCCCAATGTGACAAAGTTTAGCAAGGTCTTGTCAAACTGGTCTGGAGTGTGTAGTCCTCCCTGAATGAGTGAGAGAAGATGTGTCTCAGGGGTAGATGGATTGCCTTAGTGGTATTCACTAGCAGCCAGCATGGAGCTGGACACACACACACCACCCCAGAGCTGTATGAAATAGCTTGTTAAAGGTCCTTTAGTACCAGAAGCATGTCTCCAAATGCTTTTATACTAATTTTTTTAACCAGGTCTGGTGTGGGCTTGGCTGACCCGTAATCCATGTGTAGAGCAGGCTGCCCTCGAACTTTGTTTCCTGTGACACTTTACAAGCATGTGTCACCGTACCATGCCTGATATTATCTTTTAATGTGAGAATTTTTCAGAGAACCCAGCTCCTGTGTACTTACCTCAGGTAGCTTGTCTCTACAAGGACTGAGGCATTTGACATCAGAGTATCCAAGGATTGTGACATCAAGATGCCAGGGACCTGCAACCGAGGGTCCTCTATTGTCCTTAGCAACCTTTCCCCAACTGCATACCTAGCTCATGATCTCAGTGCATTCTCTGATCCACATTATGCTCAGCATCCTTCCTTAGCTGATGGCTTTATACTTACTCTCAAAAGGCTTAAAGGTTTGCCCTTAAGCTGATAGTTGTATGAGCTTTTTAAATTTACATAAATAAAGCACGTAGATATTTCACATGTTTCACAGCTTCCTCTGGGTGCTAACTAAAATTTTCTTCATGGTGACAGTGGGGACACTGACTTATGGGATGGCCCTGAAGTCACTGGTGTGGCCAGAGCAACTGTAACCAGGGCTTAACATCCTGATCAAGCCTTGGCTCCTGTCCATTCTCCTCAGTACACAGAACGTTGCAGTTGCTCAATGGATATTTACTGACCAATTGAATGACTATTTCATCCTATTTGAAAAATAAACCAAAAACAAGAACTACAACCCTCTGAACCTTTGAGGATGTTCTTCTGACTCTTAGAAAGAAAGGCCTCTTGCCTCACTTCCACGGCTCCATCTCTGGCCGCCCTCTTGAGGCCTTGGTGCCTTCAGGTCTCTCTCTGAAAGTTTATCCCACTAGGAGTCCCCTGTGCACTTGCTGTCACAGAAGACCAAAAATGGGAGAGCAGGCTCCTTGCCCCTCCTGAGAGAAGTACAAAGACAATGCGCCCTGGAATGGAGGAAGCTTCGGGGGATGTTCATGCTCATTGTCTTGACTGTGGCGGGGGCTTCAGTGGATGTTTACAAATGTAAACACTTATGATGTTTACACGCCTTAAATACATGCAGATTTCTATATATCAACTATACTTCAATGAAGATGTGCTTTGAAAAAACAAACTCACATTCAAGGGGTTGAGATAGGAGGACGAAGAGCCAACCTGGGCTACATAGTAAAATACTGTCTCCAAAGAAAGCAATAGTTCACAATTTTTAAAATTTGAATATGAGTATTTCAAGGCCAGCCTGGGCTACAGGTGAGTTCAAGGCCAACTTAAAACAAGACAAAACAATGCACATACACACGCACACACAACCAACCCTTAATAAAACCACCCACAATTTTTTGCAGGAAGAGTCACATTTCAGAGCAAGAGAACTAAGTCCTTGACAGATTCCACATGCCAGTTACTCTGCAAATTGTGGCACCCACAATGCATACATGGATCCCATGCTAGTTTTGCACCAGAAGAAATCAAACCATCATGTATAGATCTGACTTCCTAGACAATATGGAGGATGGAGCCAAGCTAAGAACTGAAGCCACGTTTTCCATCTTGCACGTGACACTAGTTCAAAGATGATCTAGATTTGGAGTCTTCTTGGTCTTTACCTCCTAGGGCATGTCATTCAGCAAACACAAAAGGTGTGTGGACAGATGACAGCAGCCAGCAGGGAGAGCCTGGTGAGGAGACACCTGTCTTCTGCTGTACCAGTCTTCTAGGCTGACAGGTGCAAGGGGTGGATGGCTGGGTGTCCCCAAGTCTGATCCTCCCCCATGGATCTCCAGTAATGGTAAGCTTGCTCACATCCTCCCCTTCATCACCTGCTCTTCCATGGGAGAAGCAAGAAATAAGAGTAGAAAAATGCATTCTCACCAAGCTTCAGCTAAACCACATTCCCCCTATGCCTGAGCTAGACCGCAATCTCCCTGTGCCTGAGCTACACTGCATTCCCTCTGTGCCTGAGTTAGACCACATTCCCCCTGTGTCTGAGCTACACTGCATTCCCCCTGTGCCTGAGTTAGACCACATTCCCCCTGTGCCTGAGCTAGACTGCATTCCCACCATGCCTGAGCTACACTACATTCCCCTGTGCCTGAGCTAGACCGTGGCTCAGAGAAGGAAGCTGAGGCAGGCTCCTTCAGGAGGTTGCTCTTTTCCTCCTAGACTTGCCTCCAAAGGAGCCTGGAATCTCAGCTTGCAGTTTCCACCAGAAATATGTTACTAAATAGAAATGGTGGTGATCAGTTGAATTTTAAAAGCAAACACTATCTTGGTGTCTGGGGAATACCCACTCAGTGTTTACTCCAGAGCCAAGATTAAGTAATTCATTAAAAGTTATCATAGCTTGTCCAGCACTTCCTAACAATGAGCCCTCCCTTACCTCTAACTGCTTGCGAGTCACTCATCTGTTCAGAAGCCATGCAGCTTCTGTTTTACAGGAGGAAGTTGGGGCTCCCATCTCCTAGACTAGTTAGTCACAACTCCCCAAGGCAGCTAGCTCTCAGCAGTCCTGCGATGCTTTGTGACCCTGCCTTCTGCTTCCGAGAGCATCTGGCAAATATTGATCAAACCTCATTTTTAGGAGCCCAGTGTCTGTGAAAGCACAATTGGTAAATAATAAAGACCCAGTTTCTCTATATCCACAGCCTCTACCATCAATATCATGTTTTTTTCTACTAGTGCTGTATAAACATAGGATTGGCTCGCTGACTCATTTAAAGATCTGAGGGGAACGAATAACAATTTGAAATTTGTATATCGCTCTTCATGAAGATACAGTCACAATAAGATGGACTGTTAGCTGGGTCCTGTACACTTCCTGAGGGTCTTATTATGGCTCATTAAATATGACACAGAATTAGAAGAATCTCCCAAATACAGACTCTTTCTATCAGGACATTGCTTAAATGATGTCACAATTGGAAACTCACCCAGAGTTTGAATGAACCACAAATTCCAAATTTCTAATTCCTTTTCATTGTTTTCACTGTTTTTGATCTAAGGAAAAGCTGACAAATTTTTATCAACCCCAGATAGAAATCAAGTCCTGTCTAGAAAGTGGCTGACAAGATGGAGCAACAGATCAACATTTGTGTTATTTTGATACCTGATGTCCAGATTAAAACTCTATCAAGAACCCATTCTGATGCCAGAATGATGGGCATTCTGTGGGTTTTCCTAAGTAGATATTTTATAGAATTTTTGGAGTTCTAGGTGGACCATGAGTGTCAGCTGATGCACTGTGCCTGAGCCATGAATTTCCACGAATTCATCCTCCCCCACATCATCCCCACTTGGAAGTTTACTTATTTCTTCCTGAGAAAAAGCAAAGCCAAAGTCTCTGAGGTGAAAATGCAAGCCAGCCTACCTTCATTCTTGAAGCTCCGGATGATGTTAGCTGATGGCATAGAGGTCCTGTCAGTGGCGAATTTGTTGTAGAGTTCCAGCATGTACTCTGGCGGATCCACTTTGGCTGTGTCCTGCAGGGGAATGTCTGTCAGGTTCAATGTCTTGAGAAATTCGTCCTTCATGCTCTGCAGCAGTGTGTTAAAGTCAATACCGTCTTGCTCTGTGAAGATATCATCGAAGAAAGGCATGTCTTCTTCCAGGGGTGACTGCTCAAGGCCCATGATGGGGCTGCCAGAAACTGAGTGAGCCACCAGGCAGAGGACAGCGCTCAGCTGCAGGACCAGAGAACCCATGACTCTGCTCAGCTCCCCAGGCCAACCTAGGAAGGCTTAACTCCCCTGGGCTCTAAGTGGCAGTTTTATCTTGCGGAGTGTAAATGTCTTGTGTCACTGGACACGACACAAGTATGGAAACTCTTCCTCTCTCTTCCCCTCCCCCCACGACTCCCCACCCCCGCCAAAAGTCAGGTTGCCGTAATTGGACGGCAAAATCCCCTATAGGGCCTAGCCTTTCCTTATCTGCCCAGTGTAAACTTGTACACCAGATTTCGTTTTTATCTTGCAACCCCTTTTTCTTTTAATGAGCATTTTGTAAACACTTCTACATTCTGACACGGGTGAGGGATAAGACAATTTTCTCTTTCAGAGGCTCTGCTGCTCTTTCTTTCATTTGACTTCCTTTTGGTAGGAATGTCTGGATTCTGGGCTTATGGGATTCAGTTTTGCACGTGTTATGGCGGATAGAAAGAATCAACAGAATGCACATTAGTGGCAGTGCATATCGATTCAAATGATGGGGCTTACATGTCCAGAGATGGACTAAATATCCAATCGCTTCAAGTTAAGTAGATATAAATGACTCAGAAACAAACTTGGAAGCACTTGCTTTTAGGAACGGAAAAGACCTCGAGTCACGGTCATTTTCCGACGGACTCGTGATCAGGCTGGAGAAAAGTCAGCACCTGATTATGATGAGGTTTGGAGTGCAGCATTGTGAGGAGCTTTGCAGAAACCATCTAAGGTGCTTCATCTAATAACCCCATTTTCATTCCTGACGTGTGTGTAGACTCCTGCGGTCCTCTAGCTGGTCAGAAGTCACTGAACTGTGCAGTTGTGAAGCCCCAGGTTAAGCCCAGGCAGTCTGATTCCTGTGGAATAGAAACTGCCCAACTTTGTAGCCAAAATTCCACTAGACCAGAAATGGGTCGTAATAGCAACTAAACCCCAGCCCAGCCTTGTACTTGGTAGTCAGTGAGAAGGCAGATAGCTGGGTGTGGATTCGGGTCCTATGTTTGTGATACTGGTTATTTACATGACCAAAACCTCTGCCAAGTTCACCTCCAAGACTAAGTCCAAAGCTCCAGCATCTGAAGCAACAGCATTACTAAACAGATAAAAAATGTCAAGTATCTTGGTAAAGGGGTGGTGGGGCTGGTATAATTGATTGCATGTCCACTTTAGGAATAACAAGCCAGGCTGACCATACGGTCCACACTAATTGGTGGCAGCAGGAGGCATGGTGCTGTCTCGGTGGCTCTGTAGACTGCTCCAAGGGGTGGTTTCCTGCAGGGACAATTATAATGGAATCTCTTCTGCTTGCGCAGTATGTTCCCTGTGCAACTCTGCAGGCAGCCTTCGGTGTGGTCTGAGGACAGCACCTAAGCCTTTGCTGCGCTAGAATACTGCCGTAGTTTCTGGTTAAGTTTTTCTGCACTCTTTCTAATAGGCTAGCTGCAGCATTCCCATCTGCTCTTTTCACTGGTTCCCCAAGTTTCTAGTCACCTTTTGATTCTTTCTCCTCCTTCCTAGATGTTTACAGCATTCTTTTTGAGCTGGCTTAGGAAGAGTCATATCTCCTTTAATAGCTGCTCACTGCCCACTTGTCTGGTAGTTGATTCAAATCCAATGTTTTGATTGATGGTTCTGCTCATGTAGCCAAATGGCGACTGTAGATTGGAAATAGATTGCACCTGAGCAGGCCCACAAGCAAGTAAGTCCCAAAGCCACAGCCCATTCTACCGACGGTGCATCTTAACACAAGGCTCCTGACATCATGACAGCAAGCCTCCTGTATCATGTGCTGATCAGGACAAGCACCCGCTTATCTTCACACACACACATGTCAACACACACTCCAAAATTCTGAATGGCAGGCATGTACATGCAACTGTTGTGGGACAGCAGAATAAGTGGCTGCACTCCATTCCCAGGATGCAGTAATTTCAAAGGTCAGAGGACAGACACACACACCCCACCATTTTGAGCTCATCACAATCCAGGGAGAAAAGTGGACCATAGAGATCTCACTGGCTTCTGTGTATGTACTTGGTGATAGAGAAGCAAACCATCAACATTTATGTCTTTAGCGGGTTAATAGATAGACCAGGAAAATGGGCACAGTTGCATCCCACTACCTATGCTATCTTGAAATACATGCTTAATAAAGGTCTTTATACACCATGCCCATGCTTCGTGCATGAGGAAGAGGCAGGGCTGCATGCACACAGAAATGAAATGCTAATTGCCTCCATCTTCTGCAACAGTGATGCATTATCATTTTGTTACAAGGTCTCTTTATCAGGTACGTTTCTCTAGAAATCTTTTCCCGGTGACTCTCATTTGACTCCAAAGGAGCCGCATGTCTGCATATATCTTTTACTATCTTGATTTATTTTCTTGACATAGTCTATTATTTTGGACTGATCTTATAATTTTGGGTCCCACTCATTTGTAATGTGTTATATTCCATTCATCATGGGCTGAGTATCACTCTCCTGCTGAGCCAAGTATATAAGAATTATAGTAGACATTTTAGGTAAACAAAGTACCAATTACACATAATGCTTTTCAAGCTGGTGCAAAATGTTCTGCATTTAGTTCCACAACTCTACAAGCCTGCAGGATCTAAGGTTGAGCTTTTTTGTAGTCTCAGAGGACTCATGGTTCAATCCAAGACTAGACATTGGACAACATCCTCATGGTTTCTGCTGTCCCCGTGAGTTGTGGTCAGTAAAAAACACAGTCAATATATATCCCCTGACTGACATGAGGCCAATGAAGCTAGGAGCTCCTTAAAGATGGCTCTAGGTTCTTAGAGCCCTTTCTTCCTTGAATCACACCTTAAGATCATGACACTGCTCTTGCTATTTACTCCGATATGATCAAGACTTTGAGATATGTCTCAAACACCATGTAATAATAAAAACATTTAACAAGCTATGTGATGGGTTTATCTATTTTAGCATAGATCAGTTGAAATATTTCAGTTTTTATATCTTTTTCTTTTGCCTTCAGCATATTTTACACACACACACACACACATGTTGGATGCCTACATGTGGCTGTTATTCATTGATTTTCAGTATTAAATTGTCAGTTTTATAAATATGAGGTTTTATTGTTCACTGTTAATGGACATTGTAACTCTCTTTTTCATGTTTTACCATGGATGATCTCTATTCTGCTCAAGAGACTCTCTAGGAGTGCATCTGCTATATAACTTCCTGTCCATTGCCATAGTCCCTGAGATGCCTGGACACTGGATTCAAGACCACAGCTAGAGTGGTGGAAGAATTGGCTTTCTAATTTTATCTCATTTTAACTGTTGGCATTTCAACAGCTGCACTCAGCTAGTACTTGTCACAGTGTTGGACAGTGGGGACCTGGATTCCGTTCCATAAAATTAAACATAGGAACAGAGTTATTGGCTAGTAGGTAAGATTCCCAATTTTATACAATGCTAGATTGTTTTCCAAATAGGTGTCCCATGCTTGTTCTTCCTAGCAAAGATTTTATTGAGTGATGTCCTTGTCAGCATGTGTTAGTTGACTTGGGGGACTCTGGGTAAGCTGAATGTCTCTGCAGATACCCACCCGTCCACATCCTGAAACTCCTAAGACAGGGGAATTTGAAGAACAGAATTAACAGCTGTGTAGATGTGGAAAAAATTAAATGGGAGACTCATACCAAATATTAGGATCTATCAAAACTCAATGACATTCATAACAGCATCGTATTGTAGGGATAGATCGAAAGATAGAAAGAGCTGGGGAAAGATTCACAAATAAGTAAAACCGGTTAAAAATTAGCTGGTATCATAGTTCAAAGGGGAAACAACAAACATTTAATAAACAATAGGGGATCACTTACTGGAATATCGATGGTCTATATCATTTTTTACACAAAAAAATCAAACTCATTGATGGAGGGTTTTTATGAAAGAGAAAATGTGAACATTGGGGGAGTCCTGTGAGAGTGTCCCTTTTCCCCTCACTTCTGTTGCCACTCCAACCAGAGAGAGAAAAGACGGGAATGGTTTTCCTGGCTGGCTTAGAAAACGGAGAAAAGAGAGGTCACGTTTAGAGAAAAAGGTGTGTGCGAATTCCAAACGTCTGACAAGGAGGGCGTCTTTTGGAACAGTGAGTGGGACACACTTTCAATCGAGGTGATTATGCTTGCTGACCTTTCCACAGCACATGCGCAGCCTGGAACACGGCAACGTTTACATGTGACAAGAGAGTACGTCACCGGTCGTTTAAGAAATGTCTTCGTTGTGCTTCGAGCAACCAATCTTTTTTCAAATGTGCTTTTTAAGTAAAACATGCTAACAAGGAAAATGCCCGCTGACCTGGGATATCCTGGGAGAGGACAGCCCATCCATGTGCTCTTCTCACACTGGAGGTGTCTGACAGCTGCGCTGAGCCACAGCACAGAGAGCAGCGACAAGGATGTAAGGGCAGCCAGGGCGCTCTGCCACCGCAGGAGATAAGTCAAGCCCTTTAACACCAGGGACTGCTAAGGGCTTATTCCACACTCGGGGCGAGATAAGCTGCCATTCATGCCTCGCCGCACACCCCAACCAGGAAAGCAGCTCAGAGAAAATCTAAGAGATGCAGCTAGGCACAGGCAATCGTTTTAGGGTTGAAAATGAGCAAACTTGAAGATGTTTGGGGTTTAGTTACTGGAGGATCTGTCAAGAGCCTGTGCTTCGGAGTGACCGGCTTTTCAGAGCATGTCATCACCACGCAGCCTCACAGAGCCCGCCTGCCAGGCCCTTTGCACTCACAAGCCAAGTCCCAATGTCTAAAGTGCAATTTGTTTTCTCATTTTGCAGAGGCACCTAAAATCCAAATGGTTAGATGAAGTGACGGGGTGACATGTGCTCGGAGAAAGTTGGAGTCACATCCTTGCCACTAATTCCTCCTAATTCTCTCAGCCACTTTTGTTGGGATGGTAGTTCATAGGGCTGTTATGATTATACACCTGATTAGATACATTAGAGGCCTCGCTGTATT